TCATCTTGGATATCCTGAATAAAGCTGTCTTTATTATAGCCATTAGTGACAATGATTTCCAAATTCTTATGCTCTCTTGATTTCATCATTTTATCTGTTAAGAAAAATGGGAAGTCATGAAAGTTCATGGTAAGTCAACTTCTGCATACTATGTCCTAATATCCACCAGTCATTTCTGCAGCCTATCATATCTCTTTGAAGGTTTTCTGCTTGGATCAGAGAGACATGTTGATCATGGAAAACAGATTTTTTATACACTAAGAGATTATCCAAAACCTGTAGTGGCTGTAGAACTGCTTCCATTTCCTGTGAATCTTCTAAAACCCCTCTTAAAAAATAATTTTTAAAGGTATTTATACTGTCTTAGGCATAGGCAAACTCATACTGATGAGCTCTAGCACTGCAAAAGGGTTTACAAAGTTGATAAATGAAAGATCCTTAGGGGCTGGGGAGATAGCTTAGTAGAATAAGCACTTTCCTGGCAAGTGCAAGGACCTGAGTTCAATCCCCGGTTCCAAAAAAAAAAAAAGAAAGATCCTTAAAGACTAGAAAGTGAAGGCAAACTAAGTTGCACGGTTTATTTTAGTATCTATCTCCCTTTTCTAAAAGTCTTCCCCTGAGTCACCACTAAGTCTTACTAACAAGACTACCAGAATGCAGAACACCGTGATTCCAGCGTTTCCTCTTCATCAAAACCCATGATGGAGCACCATAAGCACTGGATAGCTCGGTGGCAGAGTGCTTGCTTACCATGTGTAAAACCTTGAGCTTGATTCTCAGCACCACAAGATGAAACAAGACAAAATTGATGCCTCTATTCTTGTTCTTTGGATTCTATTCTATTTTTTCATAGTTGAAAGTCTAACTTGTTTCCAGTCCTTGGTTGCATATGTATATTCAAAGTGGAAATAATGCCTTAAAATATATGTTCAGTACAACATTTTGTGCACTATATTTGGAGTGTGGACTATTCTTGTCAGCCTCCAATTAGTACTTACTTCATTTATGCCTATGACCAGTTACCCCTTTCTCTGTAGTAGGGCATTTGGTCTACAGCAAAACTCTGTACAGAAACAACAGTCCATATCTCATCCCACACATTCATCTGAAACAGTACCAATCAACCCAAATGCCTTCACATCTTACCTTATTTAGTGTAAAGTTACTAACTAAAACTTACCGTTATCACTTTGTTCTTTTCCCTTTACTTCCTCCTGAACCTCTTCTTCCTCTGACTCGGCTCCACTATCACTGCTTTCAGCTTTCCCATTAACA